TTCCTCTTTAGGGACTCAATTTCATTCTTCTGACCATTGTTTTCCCTCTTTAGGGACTCAATTTCCTTCTTCTGATCATTGTTTTCCTTTATGACTTCTGTCACTTTTTTAATCATGGCAATTTTAAATTCTCTTTCTGGAAGGCTCAGAAGTTCTTCCAAGTTACTGTCGTTGCAATCTGGGGGCTGGTTTTATTTTTGTGGTGTGCTTTTTCCCTGAGGAGTTGCTAGGTTGCGTGTGGTTCTTCTACTCCCTACTGTCTGTTTTCTAATTTGTAGTATGCATTGGGACACTGTGTTGCTGGGACTGGCCGGCATCTTGGGTGAGCTTCTCTGCTCCCCTCTAGCTCCTCCAGGAGCCATCTGTCAGTTTCAAGCAGTCTTTACTGAAGAAAGGTCCCTGTTCTAAAATGCCAATGTGGGGACACACTCCCCTGTGTGCCTGGTCTGCTCCGGCGGTTGGTTCCCACTCCCCCTCTGGGCTTGGACTGCAGGCCAGAGGGTCTGGCATGGGCGAACTTCCCCCGCTCACCTCTGGCTCCTGAGGGAGCCTTCTTCTTCTGCCCAATTTTTGACTGGATTATTTTCTTTGTTTTTGCTGAGTCTCATCAGCTCTTTGTAGATTTTTGTGATCAGTCCTTTATCATTAGTGTTGGGTGCAAAAATTTTTTCCCAGTCGGTGGGGTTTCTCTTTGTTTTTGTTATTGTCTCTTTTGCTGAGCAGAAGCTCTTTTATTTGATGTAGTCCCAGCTGTTGATCTTTGCCTTCACTATCACTGCTTTGGGTGATGTGTCTGTAAAGATGTGTTTTATGTGCATATCACGTAGTGTTTCACCTATATTTCCTTCTATGTATTTTATGGTTTCAGGTCTTATGTCTAGTTCTTTAATCCATTTTGAGTTGTTTTTTGTGCATGGTGTGAGGTAGTAGTCGAGCTTCATTCTTTTGCATGTAGCGACCCAGTTTTCCCAGCACCATTTATTGAACAAACTTTCTTTACTTCAATGCATATTCTTTGCTCCTTTGTCAAAGATTAGTTGACCATAAATCTGTGCGTTTATTTCTGGGTTTTCTATTTGGTTCCATTGGTCTGTGTAGGACAAAGCATATGTTTTGGTAACTTAATTTCTGGTCCTCTGCAATCTACAGATCGGACTACCACTTTTCCCCAAATTCCACCTCCCTTTATCACCTGAGGGAAACCAAGGCCAGTGTTAACAATGTTGTCCTTGGTCCTGGGATGTTTATTATTCCCAGTGGAATTACATTCCTCTAGTTGTCCTTCTCTCTGAAGCCTTCCGAAACTCTTCAGAGGTCCCCTCCTGCAATGTCCCTAAAACTGCCTAATTACCCTAACTTGCCCTATGTCTCAGTATCCTCCACCAGCCGCCAACCTTGAAAGGAGAAAAAACAGAAGCATCCAGCAGCAATCTCCAGGGAAGGAAGAGAAGCTGAAGACCTCCATCAGAGACTGGGCTCTTGTCTGGTTCTGACGTTGCCTGAAAGGAGCAGCACAGGCCCTGAGGCTAGTATTGCAAAGAGCTGTTTGTTGTTGGTGTAGGCCAACAACTCACAAGGAGCTGTGAACATGGGGTTTCCCTGACACTGCCTCTGGGGGACAAGTAGTGACCATCACTACTGGCCAGTGATAGCCAGGTCTGTTGATAGGTGACCGGCACTCTGCTTATGTCTGTACTCGTGGTGGACGCTATCTGGGGTGAGATAGCCGGCCACTTGTGGCTACAATTAGCTCTTTATTTGCCCAGTTTGTAAAATAAATCCCATTGTTGTTCCCTGAGGCTGAGGTATGTTGCATTTGTGCATGCAGGTGAGAATCCATAGACAGTGACCTGTCCTCAATTGGGCACTGTCCTTTCATTGACTATAACCCCTATTGTGCAGGTATTGCTGTAGCCCGATGGCCCTTGGCTTCTGCCTTCTGGCTGCTCTCTTGTCCAGACCTGCTCTGTTTCACTAAGTTTGTTGCAGCACTATTCATAACAGCCAGGCCAGGGAAACATCCCATAAATACCCAGTGACAAGTGAGTGGGTTTAGAAGATGTGGTATATGATGAAATAGTACTCAGTTATAAAAGTAAGTGAAGGGACTCCCTGGTGGCACGAGGGGTTAAGCAATGCACTAGGAAGTAATCTGCAGTCTCTGCAGCACAGGTTTGATGCCCAGCCGGCCAGGGAGCTACCCACAGGGAGCAGCAGACCTCTCCTGACTCACCTGCTGCTCCCCTCAGGAGTGTATTTTGTCAGTCTGCCTGTTCTGTTCCCTACTCTGTCTCTGGTGAGTCCTCTCACTCCCCTGCCCTGCACATCTGGCCTGTATCCCGGTTCTTGTATGCATAAATTAATAAATCTTTAAAAAAAAAACTTATGGATCTTTAAAAAAAAATAAAAGTAAGTGAAATATTGCCATTTGAAACAAAGGATGGAACTGGAGAGGATTATGCTAAATTAAATAAGACAGAAGGAGAAAGACAAATACTGATTGATTTCACTCACACATAGAATACAGAGATACAAAACAAAACAAAGACAAAACCAAATCAACACAAACTCAGAAATATGACTACAGAATTGAGGCTACTAGAGGGGGAAGAAGGGACTGGGGACAAACTGGGGAGGGGTCCATGGGTCTGTGGTGAAGAGCTAGAGGTGTTTTGCTGCAGCGTGTGCTGTGGTGACAAACATCTGGGGAGGTGTGAACCTATTCCCTAAATCACATACACTGTTCTAAACCAGGTTACTTTAAGAATAATTTTTTTAAAAAAAAAAATAACATGTTTCTGAGTCGAGTCAAAACGCCTCTATAGGACAGCCTGTTTTCTGTCAATTCCTATCCATTGATAGGGCCCACTGTGGCCTCACCTCATAGGAACTAGAGCCAAATGTGACACACATTTTGTTTCAGCTCTGCCAACACGTTAGAGAGCCCACTGAGGCGGCTGCTTCCTGGTGGGCCTCATCTTCCCGTCTAGCCTACAGCAGTCAAGTTTTCCTCTAATGTTATAAAACAGCACAGCTGTTAGTATAGATCTCTGTGCCTGATCTACTCTGGAGGATTTTAGAATTCTCAGTCTCAAGGGGAACCAGCGTTTCGTGAATTCTTTCCACGAGTGCCCTCCATACATGTCAGCTTCTTTGGCCCTCTTTGGTTCTTTGGCAGAACCCTAGTTGGGGATGTTTGTTCTCATTTCATAGTAAGGAAGTTACTAGCAAAGAGGTTAAGACACTTGCTTAAAGCAACAGCGAAAAGTGACAGGAGCAGGATTGGAATGGAGGCCTATCTGAGCCCAAGGCAGCGCTCACAGCACAAGCCTCATACAAACCTGGACTCGCTTTTCCTCCAGCCCCAAGGGTGGAGGACACCTGCTATTGTTTGGAGAGTTAAAGGGAAGGGGCTTACTCAGCCTAACCCAGGGTTTTCAAGGGTCTCATGCTTGCATTTCTGTGGTCTCTGAGGTATGAGGGCAGAGGACTGTCTCAGAGGAAACAGGACTTAAATACTTCCCTGGAAGCACAACTATGCACATACAGAAGTGAAACTCACAGGGTACATTCTGCCTGTGACATTCAGGATTTTTCAGTCTTGGTTCTATTGCCATTTTGGAATAGATTCTTCTTTGCCAGGGGGTCAGCTTGTAGGATGTTCAGCAGTACCCCAGGCCTCCACCTACGAGATGCACTGTCCCAGGACTGACAGCTGAAATGCCTGTAGATACTGCCAGTGTCACCTGGGGTCAAAATCACTCCCCATAAGAAACTATGTATCATTCAACAGGCAAAGGGCTATTGGAACTTCAGAAAAAGAAGGTCAGCAAAGACCAGAACCTCTCCCCAAAGAGGTAACCCTGCACCTGAATGGCAGGATGATCTGGAGGGTGCAGGGAGGGAATATTGGACCTCGGCTCCCGCAAAGATCTTGGTTATGATGTACCAAGGAGATAAATGTGTCATCAGTCATTCACCCTCCCTGTTCAGCAACCTCGAGATGGACATTTTTAGACTGGGTGGAGCTCGGATCCAAAGTCCTCGAGGTCCAGGAAGGTATCCGTCATCTCAGCCCAGAAGAAAATGACTCACTTCTCATTATGCTTTCTAACTATAATCAATTTGAACCCACCTAGAGGCTCTTCCAAAGCAACAGGAGGGGAAAATAGGGACACAAAATATAAGAGCCACTTTCTACTCTCTGGATTACTGTGGGCAATTCAGTGAGTAAATCTGTCTTTGGCCCTGGCATTTAAACCTACAACACTGGTCATAAACAGGGAACCTCTGCTCTGGAATCATCATTGATGGCATCCTGGTGACTAATTTGATTGTTCTGGGAAGGTTACAGTAGTGAAAAATGAAAGCAAAACTTAACTATGTGGCAATTCATTATGAAGCAAAAATATATTATTGAGCAAATGAAATAATAAAGATTCCAGCAGAACTTCCAGCCCAGGTGCAATGAACACTCCATTGCAGACATCATCAACAAATTTGCTTCCTTACAGCTCCTTCCTGTCAAGATTCATGGCCAGGGCCTCAGCACCCTTATCTACAAGGTCGGGCAGCCAGCCAAGCTGGTTTGTCTCTCCAAGGCCATTCCCGAATGCCTGCATCTTTCCCCCCTTGCCTTGCTGCCTTGTCTGGGGACTTTGCCGCAAATGGTTGTGCCTGCTGGAAAACGATGTTATCCATGTAGCATGTTATCCATGTTATCCATGGACACAGTTGTGTATAAGAGGTGCTCTTGGTCTTTAAACTGGTGCTCAGTTTAAAGCTGACGGGGCTCCCCAGGTCTGGGGCCTCATGCACATGTAATTAAACTTTTTCCTGCCCTCACCATTCCTGAAGTACCGCTTGTTCTTCCTCTGCCTGGGTAAAAAGTAGAATTTATTTCTACAACATTTTGGTGCGTGGGCCGGGAACAACAAGCGCGTTGGCCCCTTGAGCCATGGGCTTAGGAGGATGCGTGGTGGGGGAGGGCAAGGAGAGCCAGGAGCTCCGCTGAGGACTTTCAGGATCTCTTGCTTGGTTGCTCCTGCCCAGCCCCCACGATGCCTTCCAGGCCTGGCTTCCAAAGGGCTGAGTGAGGCCAGGACTTGGTGCCGATGTCGGATCAGGTGAGGTCCCGGGACCCTGGCTGCCATGTGGCCTACCCAGAGAGGCAGAAGGAGAGGCTGGTCACCTCTCAGGGAGACCTTGAGGGTCTCATTTTGGTTTTGGTAGGGAACCTTGGAACTCCCACAAAGGGAGGGATGGTTATAACCTTTGGGGTGTGTGTGTGAGAGAGAGTGCTGTGTGTGTGAAATCTCCACAGCTGCAGCTGCGGAGATAGATTGGGCTTTGCATGTGGTTCTGTCGACAAGTCGTATGGCTGAAAGGTGACTGGACTTGTCAAAAATCTCTGAGAGAGGAAGGCGAGGAAAGCTGAGACGAGAGAACTCGAGGGGCGCGGCGGGGAGACCGGCCCGGGCTCCACGACGGGCCAGCCGGGCCGGGGGGCGGCCCGCGCAGCACAGACCAGGGTGGTCTTTCTTGTGCCAGCGACAGCGTGAGAAAAGGACAGTTTGATAACGCAGAACCTCACTGAGAAGGTGTGCCAGAAATACGCTGAATTCTGAGAAATAAGGAACCGCTGTTGTGCAGTTCTGTCCCTCTCCCGTCTCGCTCTGTGTCTTCAAGAGTACTTATTCGTTCTTCCATTTCATCTATTCTGCTTTCATTGCTTTTCCCAGAGTTCTTTAGTTCCTCCATTAATTCTTTGATCTCCTGCGTTTCTTTTGCTTCCCTCTTTAGGGACTCAATTTCCTTTTTCAGATCATTGTTTTCCTTTATGAGTTCTGTCATTTTTTTAATCATGGCAATTTTAAATTCTCTTTCTGGAAGGCTCAGAAGTTCTTCCAAGTTACTGTCGTTGCAATCTGGGGGGTGGTTTTCTTTTTGTGGTGCGCTTTTTTCCTGAGGAGTTGTTAGGTTGCGTGTGGTTCTTCTACTCCCTGCTGTCTGTTTTCTAATTTGTCGTATGCATTGGGACACTGTGTTGCTGGGACTGGCCGGCATCTTGGGTGAGCTTCTCCGCTCCCCTCTGGCTCCTCCAGGGGCCATCTGTCTATTTCAAGGGGTCTTTACTGAAGAAAGGTCCCTGTTCTAAAATGCCTATGTGGGGACACACTCCCCTGTGTGCTTGGTCTGCCCCAGCGGTTGGTTCCCGCTCCCCCTCTGGGCTTGGACTGCAGGCCAGAAGGGGCCTGGCGTGGGCGAGCTTCCCCGCTCACCTCTGGCTCCTGAGGAAGCCTTCTGCAGGCAGTCTTTACTGAAGAAATGTCCCTGTTCTAAAATGGCGATGGGGGGCGCACTCCCTGCGCGTCCGTCTTGGACACACTCTTCTGCGTGCCCGGTCTGCCCTGGCTGTGGGTGCCCGCTCCCCCTGTGGGCTCAGACTACTGGTCGGAAGGGGCCTGGTGTGGGCTAACTTCCCAGCTGGCCACTGGGTTCTCCAGGAGCCTCTGCTGGTTTCAAGTCCCTAGGTGGCGCCAGAGATCTCTCCTGGAGCCCTTGGGGAGCTGATTTTTTCCACCCTGTGGGACAGGGAACAGAGCGGGAATGGTAGGGTAAACCTCAACGGCTTTGGGGTGCTGTGTCTGCCTTGTGCCCCACCATCGTGGAGAACCCACGCCCTGAATTTCATGCCCCGGGTCTCAGTTCCAAAGCCCTCAGGTCCAGGACACGGGCTGTAGCCCAGTTCAGTGTCCGCAAAGATGGAGTCTTTTGCACCCCGCTCCCGTGCCTGGGTACCTGGTTCCTGATTACTCAGTGAGGGGCTTTCACCTCAGTGAGGGCCCCCGCGCGTCTCCCCACAAGCCTAGGTCACAGGCGCGAGGACCTGGGCAGCCGCCATCCGCGTTTGCTTTTCAAGCGTGCCACTTTTCCGCGCAAGCTTACCGGCGGGCCCAGGGCTGTGTGCGGGTCTCCAGAGTCTCTTTGTTCTCTAATGGCGCCTGGAGCCGTTCGCTCACTGCCGGGCAAATCCTGCAGGGTTCTCCACAGCTCCAGTTCTCCACAGCTCCAGTTCCTTTCCACTCACAGTCCCGCTTGCTGCGTAGTTTGTTCTTGTTGGTTGTTTTAGTTTGTTGTTTTCCTCCTCTCTGCTGGTCGGAGAGTGCCGCCTCTGTGGGTGGGGGAGGGGAGCAGGGTTCTGCGCTTTCCTCCCTTCTGGTCCTCTTTTATGGCCACTTTCTTCTTCGGGTAGTTTGCTGGAGTCGTCCGTTTATCTTCCGTGTCCCAGTTCTCACTGGGACCTGCTGCTTTTCCTCCCTATTAACTTTTTTTAATGGGAGATCTTACTCGCAGCGTCTCCTCGCCGCCATGTTGCTCCGCCCTCTCCAGCTCTTGGTTCTTAATATGTGTTGAAAGTTGGTTTTAGATTTCCTAGTCATTTATCTTTTGACTTTGCTAATGGTTTTTGCCAAGCATACATTTTAATTTTTATTATTTTTGTTTTCATTTTCAGACAGCTAAATTTTGCACTCTTCTCCTTTATGGCTTTTGGTTTTTCATTTACTGGTGAAAAGTTCTTTCCCTCCATAGTTATTAAGAAATTCTTAGTTTGGACTTTTGTTTGCTGTTTTGGTTGTTCACATAAATAATGTCATATCATTTTATAGTATTCTGTGACTATTTCTTTCACTTCACTGTATAGTCTCCACATCCTTCCATGTGAGAGTTAAAGTGACTGTGTGCTGCACCATGGTGCTGATGTCCAGTGATTCATCATCCACTAAAAGTGGACTTTCAGGTGAGTCACAGTTTTCAGTATTACAAGCAACTTGGTGGGACAAATATGGTTTGTCCTAGTGAGTTGTGGGTCTCACAACTAGGGTGAGCAGCTTAGAATGTACTTGTTTCTTCACTGGCAGGGCCCCCTAGTGGTTCAGAACAGGAAGAAGAGTAAGACTTGGAGACCTGGCTTCTGTGACATAGTGAAATGGCCTTAATTCAATCCCTTCCTTTCGTACATGGGGAAACCGAGAATCTTAACAGGCTGACAGCTTGCCCCAGCTCACCAAGCACAATAAACCCAGGATTAAGTCCAGAACCCAGGGCTCTGCAGCCTTCCCACCATCAGTGTTGACCTCTTACACCCAGTGTAAGAAGAGCAGGCAGCAGCCCAAGCCATGCTGCCACTCCTGGCTCTGTGGTGCTGGCAGGAATTTGATTTGTGTGCGGCAAAGCCTCATATGCACCTGCAGCCTGGCTTGCTGCCTGTTCCTTTGTGCCCCCTCCCCACTCCAAACATGCCTGGTTCTAGAACCCTAACCTCCTTGCCAAGTGGTGCTGCCAGGTGCCTACTCACAGAATAGACCTTTGACCCCTTTTCTGAGCAGGGGTTATTGGGAGCAAGGGGAGGAGTGGGGGGAATGCTAAAAACTTAAGAGCCGGAGCAGCAGACTCACTCAGACATTTATTCAGGGGACAAACTTGGGTTCCTGCTTCTGATCTCCTACTCATCTCTTCATACGCTGCTGTCGTCTCTGGGGCTGCCTGCCTGGATTTGAGCTGCTGTGATCACCTCCTGCTGCCATAAATTATGTCCTGATTTCCTGATTCATCGCTTTTGCTGCAGGCTTTCATTGCAGGGACAACACCATTGTTTGTGAGCAACTTTTAGTTGGAACTTTGCTATATGGACACTATCTGGGGTAAGACTTGCTTCCTTAGAATCTCTCTCTCCTCCCCCACCCCCAATTTCTTCCCTGTAAATAAATCCTGTTTTTTTTTTGTTACCCTTGGTGTTTAGGTGTGTCCTGAGATTGTAAGTGTGCAGGTGAGGACCCATCTTCTGTGACACTCGCCCACATTTGCCGGATTTCAGCCTGGTACTCAGTGAGGGACCAAAGCCCTGTGGCTGACCAGGAACATCCCAAGGCTCCGCAACTTGTGCCGACCACTGGAAGTACACTGCAACTGTTGGACACATAGCAGGATTTTTTAGTCTCTAATTTAGGGTTATTTATGAGTTAGACTTGGGTTCAGCCCTCAGTTTAGGAGGCTCTACTTCTTCTGCTTCTCTTTCTCCTCCTCTTCCTTCTGTTTTGTTCTAGGTTTTGGTTTTGTGGATCTGATAAGGTCTGGTGTATCCAAGTTCATTTTTGTTTTTAATATTCTGTAGGTATTCATTTGTGCCTGGTTTTACAGACTCTAATTTAGGATTTTTACTTCTGGAGGGTTTTGGGTGTGTGTGTGTGTGTGTGTGTATTTTCTATAGTTTCCTTTTTGATTCCAGGGTTGTTGAGCTTTTACTTTAATTGAGAGTCTGCAAGAACAAATTCTGGCTGCCTTCCATAAATTAGATTTAGAATAGGCAGAGGGCCATTGGATGACACAAAGCAAAGGGGATCAACCTTCCCCTCACCCTGATAGTTGTAGCAAGGAGGCACAGAGAGAGGGTGACCAATATTTACTGGTGATCTTGAATCCATCAGGGGAGAATCCCTTCTGAGAGGGCAGCATCCCTTCTGGGAAGGCTGTATCGGCCTTGCCTTCTCTCTCCCCCTGAATAGGACTGGAATGATTTCTCCTTCTTGTACCAACCAGGGCACCTAATTTGACCACAGGAGCAACCCTGGGGTAGGACAGTTCCCTTTTCACCAATTTCCTATAGGTGGATTGAACAAATAGGGCCAGCCTGCTGGATATTATTGTTCATACAGTTTCTTTTCCACCAGGAAGCTACCTAATTAGAAAAATTCTGTGTCTTTGTACTGGCAGGATCTTGGCTCTTTTTTTTTTAATCTTCCATTGCACTACTTGGGAAGATATACAATCCATATTAAATGCATTATTAATGTCCAATGACAAGGAATAGTTTTTAGGGAAGGTAGTGAAGAGGTTCATCATTTCTACCAGGAGGATCTAGAAACTCCAGAACCAAAAGAAGCCATTCCAAAGGTAAACCCTAACTGGAACCCCAATGATAGGGGAATGGAAAGGTTAGAACATCACAAGAGGTATTTATTAGTATGACTGAGGACGAAAATTTCTAAGAAAAAAATGTTTTCGAAAGATACTGGAGCAAATAGGCCAATGATGATTCCTCTGAATTTCTTGAAAAGATTGTCCAAACTTTTAGTTCCTACACAGATGTGAATCTTGATAGTCCAGAAAATGATTAACATAACATTCCTAAGCAGAGTACCCTGGGTAAGAAGGAAATTAACCAAAGTAGAAGGTGCTGTAGAGATGAGTCCTTCCCTATTAGTGGATATAGCTTTTAGGGCTTATAATGCAAGAGAAGAAAGGAGATCTAGGCTTGCAATGGTATTTGCAGGGAGAGAAGACACAATAAGGTTTATTTAGACAGAAGGGAGAAGGAACATGGAGAAAAAGCAGGAGAAGAAAACCTTTAAGGAAGAATCAGTGTGGATAGTATAAGGATAAAGACATTGGAATGACAGGTATCCCAGGCTGGGAGCAAGAACAGGGAGAAGGGGTGATAATGTGGAAAGAAAGAAAAGGAAGCAGATGCCATTATAGAATGAGGATTTGGGCAAGCATTTCAGGGTAGAATACGGGTAAAGTGAAAGGAATGAAGAAACAAAGAGGGAGGAGTGAAGGCAATTGGTAGTCCAGAATGAGGGTCCAGATGAGGAATAGTGGGGGCCAAGGGCCCCCAAACTGAAAAAACCCATTATGATAAACCTCTTGGAGGCCCAGGTAACCCTTAATGTGGGGAGATCTCTTGGTTGACTTTTTGGTGGACTGGAGTGTCCATTTGGTTCTAAATTCTAAATTAGCTTGGGTCACCAAGAGATTGGTACCAATCACTAGGGTTAAGGGAAGGCCACAACAAAAAGCTTTCCTACAAACTCTGGAATGCCAATTTGGTAATACAAACCTCTGGTATAGTATTCCACATGGAAGAATGTTCAATTTCCCCCCTTGGACATGATCTCCTTAGCAAACTGAAGGCACAGATTATTTTCTCACCCCAAGATCAGAGGCTGCACTTACATGTACTCCTAGAACATGCCTTGCAATGCCACATGGCTCTCACTCAGGTGCTCCACTGAAAGGTGAAGTGCTGTTTCTAGAAATCTATGGAAGGTAAATAAAATGGTTTGGGCTGATGGGACTCCAGGACATGCCAAAAATGCAGACTCAGTAAAAATAAAATTGTTGGAAGGAAGAAGAACCCCAAGGAGAAAGCAGTAGCCACTAAAAAAACAAGACCTTGAGGGAAATGCGGCCAGTATTACAGAAGTTTCTCCAATCTGGCCTTATTTGGCCATGTTGTCCCCTCCCCGCACCCCACTCCCCACTGCCAACACTTGGGAATTTACCATTAAATCAACCCCACACAAATGAGTACCACTTGAGAGTCATTGATGAAATTGTCCAGGACATACATCCAACTACACCAAATCCTCATACCTTGCTAAATGTCATACCTGGGAGTTTTGGCTTGTTCTCTATAATGTATTTAAAGGATGGTTTTTTCCAGCATTCCAGTAGATGCTCAGTATCAGCAGCTTTTTGCCTGCTAATTGTAGCACCCTGAGTTCAAGAGCATTCTACAATACCGCTGGGCTGTGCTTCTGCAGAATTCTCTGGCTGTTTTAGGGGAAATAATAGGAATATCAGAAAAATTCAACTAAAATAGGGTGTCCTTGTACAGTAAGTGATGAACTATGAATTGCCAGCCCTAACTATCAATCTTGTCTGGGGAATACTATGTTGTTTTTGAAACACTTAGCAGAGTATGGCCACAAGTTGTCATCCCAAAAGGCAAAGATTTGCAAGGAAAAAGTAACATACTTGGGATTTTAAGTTAAGAAAGGCAAATGAAGCTGCACAACTGGGAGACAACAGGTGATTTAACTCATGTCCCCAGCAATCAAAAGCAATTTTATGGATTTTTGAGGAAAGCTGGGTTATGTAGAACTTGGAAACCCAATTTTGGGTCATAGCAAAACTTTTTGAAGCTCTCGAAGCTCTGGACTCCAAACCTTTGTTTGGACTCCTAAGTGCCAATGAGCCTTTGATGAAATAGAGAAGGTTGATTGAAATACCAGCTTCAGGGCTTTCAAACTCAATGTGGAGGAAATACTGGGAGTTTGGCTGGGACTGCTAATCCAATCATTAGGACCAGAAGTGTAGCCCATTGTATACCTGTCTAAACATCTGGACCATACCACTAAGGATGACCACCGTGTTAGCTGGCTGTAGCTGCCACTTGTGACATCCTGCATGAAGCAGAAATAGTGACACTAGTTACAGCCATCACTGTGTCTGTGCCACTTCAAGTTTTGACTTCATTAGTACAACAGCATATAACATACACCGTATAACACTACGCCCAGAGGCCCTAGTCTACCTGGTGGTGAAACATGTACAGGAGGGAGCCCACAGTGGAGAGATGACTTGCTGGGGTCTTTGTGTCCATATTCAAAGGTCTTCTGTTTGAACAGTGGCTCAATGAATCAACTAAGATTGTCATTACATGCCAAGAATAACCCCAAGACTGAATTATACTCTAAAACTACTGGGATTCAATATTGGGGCAAGTGCCCATTTGAAGACTGGCAAGTGAACTTCACTCCAAAGCCCAGAACCACTGGCAACTATAAGCATCTGCTGATTTTTGTAGATACCTTCTCAGGATCAGTGGAAGCATTCCTCCCCCAGGACAGAGAAGTCTTAAAAGTTTGCCAAACATTGGCTGAAAGAAACAATTCTTTGCTTTGGGTTGCGAAAATATATTCATACTGATAATGGACCTGCATTTGTCTCAGAAGTCATTCATAATGTAAGTACTGACTTAAAGATTACTTGGAAGTGACATATTGCCTACAGATGGTAATCTACTGTTAGTTTTAACAAAATGAGCCATACCCTGAAAAAGACCCTGGCAAATCAATGTCAAGAAGCCCATTTGCATCAGGATTAGGTATTGTCTATCACCCTCCTTTGGACATGAGTGTCTCCTAGAAGTGGTCTATGTGTAAGTCCCTTTGAAATTGTCTTTGGAAGACCATTCCAGACTTCAATTTTTTTTAATTTTTAAAAAAGATTTATTTATTTATCCATATAAGAGCTGGGGTACAAGCCGGAGGTATGGAGGGTGAGAGAATTCGCCAGAGACAGAGTGGGGAGCAGAACAGGCAGATCGATTGAAACACACTGCTGAGAGGAGCAGCAGGTGAGTCAGGAGAGGTCTGCCATGCCATGTGGGTAGCTCCCTGGCTGGTGATGGAACTCATGCTGCAGTGGCTGCGGACAACTTCACAGGTTGTGTCCTAACACCTTGCACCACCAAGGAGGCCCCAGACTTCAATTTTGAACACCACACTAAGCATAAAATAAGAATGAAGGATCAACTGTACACAAAAGATATCCAGGAGATTTTAGGTGTAATTAATAACTTTGTACTCTCTAGGACGTCTTGGCCTCCAGATGAATCACTTTTAGGTAATAGTGATCAGGTCTTACTCAAGACCTGGCAGAGTAGAGCTTACCAAGTCCTACTGTAGGAGAAATGGTCTGGCCCATTGGATATACAGAATAGAAATAACTAACACTGACTGTCAGTGCTGTGCTGGTGGTGGAGTCTAGTCAGAACTTTGACACACAGAGCTTTGGCATTTACTGAAATTGTTTCAGGAAAAAACAATTAGCTGGAAAAGACCCCATACTGCTGAGATCCCAGGCAGATGGTGCCAATGGACTGGGACGATGGGGCTCATGTAGAAGACTGAAACAGTGAGTGTTGGAGCATGAGAAGCTGCCATGGCTCTGGCAGATGGTAGAGTCTCTCTTGTTTATGTTCCATGGAGGGTTTGAGGAGCAGACTTGAGTCCAGGTCTCAGGACAACAGTGGGTGCTCTGAGTACTCTTTGGTGTTTTGGATGACTCTGATCTCATCCAGAGACAGCACATGTACTGCTTGGGCCTCCTGTGCTGCCTCCCTCACTGCTACTCTGAGCCCAGGCCTCCATCAGGTCTTGGATAAGTGGTCCATTCAGCAGGCTTAGAACACATTTGAATTCTGTGATTGCAGCTTTTCACCAACCCTCTAAACTGTCTTTTGTGGTTGCAGCCTGGTATCTAGACAGCTGACCTTTATTGCCACAGAAATGGTGACAGAAAGTGAAAGTGGGGAAGTTATAAGAAGAGCACTGGGACCCGAGACACACTGTAGTTTGGATTCAGTGGTGCTGTCAGGAACTGGATTGAGGTGTGGTGGAACTGAGCATCCACCTTGTGGCCTGGCTTGCTGCAGCTCATCTCCTACCTCCCACCCTGCTGGGTAGCATCTGTGGCTTCACCTGGCTCTACTGTCCCCTGCTTGTACATAGCCAAACGAGCTCTGTTGGCCAAGTGGCACCAACCCTGGCTCCTGGACCACCCCTGCAAAGCGGTTCTTCCAAGCGCTTGCCCTTAGGAGATGAAGCCTCAAACCCCTTCCTGAGTGGGGACTGTTGGGAGCAAGGGAGCAGTGGAGGGACACTGTGCCGCGGACCAGTACAGCAGTAGACAGTAGACGATGAGGCCACCTCAGGGTTGAGAGAAGCGTGCAGGGTGGTCAGGGCGTCGGCGAAAGAAATGACAAACAGACACACTTCAAGAGTGAAAATCTGAGTGTAATTTTCTTTAAGTTTGTGACCAGTATATATATGTTTTCCAAAAGCACAGGAATGAATATCAATGAAATTAGCTTGCTCATGGGCTCAGTCTATCACCATCAGGGAGGTGATCTACATAACAAGCAATGACCATTATAGAAGA